ATGTACAGATCAGACTCCATTAGACCTAATACAGGTATCTCAGAGGCAAGCGCCCCTTGTTCTGGTCAGGAGATAGTAAGGAGCTTTTAACAAACAGAGTAGGTTCCCCATCAGACATGGGACTATATGCAGCTGCCTTGTATGCCTAATGGGAAATCAGGCCCTGGCTCAGGATATTTGTTAATGATATTTGAAATCATTGAGTTGAAGATTTTTCTTTTCTTTCATAGACTACAGCACTGGAAAAAACATCAGAACCAACATTGGAGATCAAAGAGGCTACTAAAGAAGAGGTAACAGACTAAACAATATGCTATAGTTAAATCATACAATTTTATATCTCTGAAATACAACCTGTAAAATAAATTGGGAACATTATAAAATAAAATTCACTTTACTCCATGCTGCTCAGACTTAACAGGCCAGGGTAGATCAACTGTTTGGTGTTATCTGATCCATTGGAAAATCAATCCATTTAGAGTTCTGTAGGTGAGGAGAAAGCAGAAGATTCAAAAATGTGAAGCATATATAGAAAAAAGTAAATTCCAATATTTAAAATAGCTAAATTGATCATCATTTGGTGAAGTGTTAGCTCTTGGCAGATCATTTACTTCTTGTAAGACCTTCTAAGATTCCTAAGAGTAATCATTGAGAATCGCATCCATTCATTGTGCTTTATCACGGTCCAGTGTTCTTCCTCTCTCACTGCTTTAGTTGTAAGCCAATTATTGGCTCTTTAAAACAATCAAAGATTTATTTTTTCTACAATGGAAGGAAATTAGAGTAGGGTAACCTGGCATATTTAAAATGATTAATAAATAATTCCTCAATATATAGCAGTTTTAAACAAGAACAGGGAAATATTATATATTTAAATATTTCTTATTAACATTATTATTTATAAATCAAAAGCACACTCCACCTCATTGTAGACTGGGGTATCAGAAGATTCAAAGAATTAGGGATGTGCACTGGCAAAAAATTTGGTTTGGTTTGGAAATTTGGGTAAGTAAAATAAATTTGTCTGCTTCAGTAATTTGGACCAATGGCATTCGGTTCGGCACTTCGGAACTGCTGAATGGCATTCGGGAAGGCGGCATTCGGACATTTATTTTGGGCATTCGGCAGTTCTGCACGTCATTCATTTCAGGCATTCGGCAGTTCAGAATGTCGTTTGTTTTGAAAAAATAAACATTTGTGTGTTTTTTTACTTAAAGGACCACTATAGGCACCCAGACCACTTTAGCTTAATGAAGTAATCTGGGTGCCAGGTCCATCTAGGATTAACCCTTTGTGCTGTAAAAATAGCAGTTTCAGAGAAACTGCTATGTTTACATATGGGTTAATCCAGCCTCTAGTGGCTGTCTCATTGACAGCCGCTAGAGGTGCTTCCGCGCTTCTCACTGTGATTTTCACAGTGAGAAGACGCCAATGTCCATAGGAAAGCATTGAAAATGCTTTCCCGTGGACTGGCTGAATGCATGCGTGGCTCCTGCCGCGCATGGGCATTCAGCCGATTACGGGGAAAGGACTAGGAGATTCCCCAGCGCCGAGGGAGCCCAGCACTGGAGAAAGGTAAGTGTTTAACCCCTTCTTCACCCTAGAGCCCGGCGGGAGGGGGGCCATGAGGGTGAGGGGGACCCAAGGACCCTATAGAGCCAGGAAAACGAGTATGTTTTCCTGGCACTATAGTGGTCCTTTAAACAGCAATGTTTTAAATTGCATAGTGGACCACAGCAGCACCCAGACCACTTAATCTTAAATAATTAATCTGGGTTTAGTTTAGTAATAATTAATAATGTTAGTTTAGTATATATACAATTTACAAAATTATATTCTCACTGCACAGATAATGCAGCCAATCAGGGAGCACTACCAGCATGCAACACTTCTGCACACTATATAATGCCACCCCTGTTACACCATCTTTGTGGAGGGTTTAGGAGCAGAGTTGGATAGCAGAGAAAAAGCAATATGTGTGTGAGCAAGCGAGAGAGAGAGAGCGAGAGCAAGTGCTGGCTGGTACACACAATTCATCAATACAGTAAAGTCACAGTGCAGCAGAGAGACAACCTGGCCATCAGACTACCTGGCTTGCACAGCCACACACTCTCCCACCACCCCCACCCCCCCTTCAAAGAAAAAAAACGAAATGCAGGAAAAAAAAGGCAAAACTTACTATTTCCCTTATTCTCCCTGGAACATACACTTAAGAGCAATGTGACTCCCCAAGTTTGCAACAAGTAAAGTACAATAAATGTAATGTAATTCATCTCTCTCAGTCTCGTGTGCTATCACAACTAGTCTGGTCACATAAATGCAAGTCAACACCCTGACAGCCTGATTTATATACTATCCCATCTCAATGACTCTGTGTGCCTTCATTGGCCAAGTGTCAGTGACAAAATCATTATTAATTAGCTGTCCACTAACAATAATCACAAACATTTGCTCATTTCATTGGACGGGGAATAGCGAATCCGGATTGGGCAATCAAGCATTACATTGCACAAACAGAATTAGCTTATTGGTCAAGATTCCTGTCATCATTATGTAATTTTCCCTCCCTCTCTCATGTTTTTCCACTTTTCAGAAATAATTTCGGCATTTCGGAATGTTCATACTATCAGTTTACTAATTAGATTAGAGGAATACTTCCATCCCCTCAAACAACTTCAGATTATTAATTTGAGTTTAGTGAAGTTGTGAGGTTGGTGAAATAGTGTCCAGACGTACTATTTCTCTCAGTGGCAGGCCTGTGATAAGCTGAGTCCCCTGGCTATCTGGCTAAACCATCCTCATACTGTAGAGGCAGAGAGGGCACCAGTGTCTGAACATTGGAGCCAAACTGTTTCAGGTTTAACCTATGTTGGCAAGAGGACGTCTGGACACTCTGCCCTCATAACAGCTTCAATTAGCTAAATTTGTTAAAGGGTGGTAGTGTTCCTTTAGCTCTTAGGATATAGAGGTGGTGCATTAAATAAAAATGTTAATGCTAATATTTTGTGTTTACTTTGTTAGAGTGTATCAAAGCAAAAAACTGAGAATAAAATTGGAAGCCTTCTGTTTAAAATACTCTGCTGCTGCTTTGACTGTGGTAAGACCACCAATGAAGATGGCTCCGTCCCTGTTACATTAAAACCCAAGCCCAAATAGTGTCGATGGGAATATTATTGGAGATGGTGCTGAGTATTGTTAATTGTGATGTACTGACATTAAATATTATTAATGTGAAATAATAGGAATGTGTGATTGTGACTTATTTCTATGACACTTTTACTATGAGTTTGTTCCACTGTAATTTAATGGTTTCTCTTTAAGCGCACACATGCATTTTATATGGTGTTTTTTTTTTTTAAGTGACAGGTTTTCTTCTGATATTTTATATAACACAGCATTCACAAATAAAAATTTTTAAACATGAGAAAAATGTAAATAATCGTTACTTATAAGTAAAAAAAGTTTTGTTTTCCTGGCACTATAGTGCCTTGAGGGTGCCCCCACCCTCGGGTCCCCCTACCGCCGGGCTTTGGGCATAGGAAAGGGGTTAAAACTTACCTTTCTCCAGCGCCGGGCGGGGAGCTCTCCGCCTCCGATCCTCCTCCTCTCCTCCCATTCGGCTGAATGCGCACGCGCGGCAAGAGATGCGCGCGCATTGAGCCGGTCTCATAGGAAAGTGTTACGATTGCCCCCGGTCTAGCAGGAGGGTTGATCGCTTGGATGTCCTGGTTCCCGCTGTAGAGAATCGAATGGAGGTCTTTCGGTAGTAAACTGCAAGTGTAGAATATCCCCAAGCACGATATAAGCATCAATATCCCGGATCCCTACAACATGAGTCGAGGCTGCAAGTTGAGGGTCAAAACGAACTGGCTTTACTGGCACATAGCATGGCAATTTATGTGATTCCTGAGGTCCAAGGACAGCCCCCTGTGGACCTGATGGAATACAGGTACAATACAAACAGGTAACCAATCACAGTACACTGTATCATTTGAATTAGTACCCGCCCAGCTTGGAGATAATGAGGCCAACGGTTTTTACAATCTAATTATCTCCAAGCGCACAAAAGACCACTTTTATTTTGTCCCAGAAAACCACATGAAAATCCATAACTTTTACATTATTACAGGGAAACCACTCATTCTACCATTCATCTGAAGGCTCACGTTCGTGTAAATAAAACATGCGAATGGCGCTCTAATCCCGCGAACAGAATGGACTGTTTCTGCCGTATAAAGTCCGTTCGGCATTTTGAGATTGTTAGTCTCTGTTGGCAGCCATGTTTTCTGCTGGTTTAGTGGGCAGCGGGACTTCGCTTCTAGCTCATGGAACTAAACTCGGTATCAGTTCATGCGAAGTCCCGCTGTCTGTCTGGTAGTGGGGCTCGTTCGGTCCGGGAATGAGGACCACCTGGTAGCAGGGTACTTGACCTGCGGTTAACCGCAGAAACCACAAGTTAATGACCGCCACGCGGCCCGCTGTAGGGGGTCGTCGTTCGGTGGATCCCGTTCGGTATTTACATGCGAACGTCGATGCCCCCAGACCTATCAATTATGTTGTGGTTAACCGCAAACTGCAGCCGCCTGGGTGGTTAATGGCTGCCACACTCCGCTGGCCGGGTGGTCGACCGTTCGGTAGTTTGCAGGGTGACGGGGTTAAGTGGCGGCACACGCCAATTTCTGGGGGTCCCCCGTTCGTACCACGAATGGAGTCTTTATAAGGGTTCGAGTAATCCATTTGTGTGTCTTTCTGCTTAAACTTATACAGTGGCAAACAGTATCAATCGGTGATTTAAAACAGCAACATAGTGATTTCCAGTCTTTTGTAACAGAAAGCATTTACAATGCTTTCCTATGGACGCTTGCGTGTTCTCACTGTGATTTTTACAGTGAGAATCACGCGAGCGTCTCTAGCGGCTGTCAATGAGACAGCCACTACAGGATTTGAGGGCTGGATCAACCCATTTATAAACATAGCAGTTTCTCTGAAACTGCTATGTTTATAAAAAAAAAATGGGTTAACCCTAGCTGGACCTGGCACCCAGACCACTTCATTAAGCTAAAGTGGTCTAGGTGCCTAGAGTGGTCCTTTAAGAAAAATTACTTTGAATAGATTCACTTATTAGTCCTGCCTCATTATTAAAATGGCCATATGTATTGGATTTCATTCAATTTTGACAGTTATTACTGCAGCAGAGGCAAGGCAAATTTAGGCTGAAAGTCATAATGTTATGGAATTGTTCTAAATCACCTATTTTGGTTTGAGGTTGCAATTTGTTTTTCAAATCATTTACAATTTGGTGCATAAACTGGTAGGCAACTCTGTAGCAAAATGTCCTAGGAACATAAGGAAATACAGCGGGAGAAAGAAATTGTATGGTTTATGGAGCTCAGACCATTACACCCTCTAAGAGATCAACAATAACAATGAATGAATATCTGACATTAGGTTACAGTGTAGGTGTCAGAGGGTTGTAGGAGTTATACATTGCTTCCTCAATTCCAACTCTCTCCTTTACCCTCTTCAGCCTGGATTCTGCCCCCTCCACAGAGACTGCTCTGACTAGAATTACAAATTATCTAATTGCCGCTAAATCCAAAGGCCACTACTCTATACTAATTCTTCTTGACCTCTCTGCTGCCTTTGAGGCTGTTATCATGGCCTCCTTCTCCTAACTCTTCAATCTCTTGTTCTCTGTGACACAGCCCTCTTATGGGTCTCCTCCAATATCTCCCAACGCTCCTTCATTGTCTCTTTTTCCAACAAAACCTCCTCTCCTCGTCATGTCTCAGTCGGAGTCCCTCAAGGTTCAGTTCTTGGTCCCCTTTTGTTCTCTCTCTATACTGCCTCTCTTGGCAAACTCATTAATTCATTTGGATTCCACTACCACCTGTACGCTGATGACACCCAGATATACCTCTCCTCCGCTGACCTCTGCTGTCCTACAACATGTCACCAATCGCCAATCTCTTATTGGATGTCCTCCCGCTTTCTGAAACTCAATCTCTCTAAACCTGAGTTTCTTATTTTACCTCCTCATAACACTGATCCTCCTTCTTCACTCTCCCTGCAGGTTGATGGTACCTGCCGCACCCCATCCCTTCAAGCTCGCTGTCTTGGTGTCATTTTTGATCCTGGCCTCACCTTTGCGCCTCATGTCCAATCTGTTGCTAAAACCTGTAGATTCCAGCTAAAAACATTGCCCGCATACACCCCTTTCGTACGCAAGATGCAAGAAGGATCTTGTTCATGCTCTAGTAATCTCTTGCATGGATTACTGTAATTCTCTCCTAATTGGTCTCCTTAGAAGCCATACTGCCCCCCTACAATCTGTGAGGAATGCTACTGCCAGGCTGATCTTTCTCTCCTGTCGGTCCCCAATATACAGCGCAGACACCCCCCAATATACTGCACAGACAACCGCCCCATATACAGCGCAGACAGCCCCCAATAAACAGCGCAGACACCCCCCCAATATACAGCGCAGACACCCCCCAATATACTGCGCAGACACCCCCCCAATATACAGCGCAGACACCCCCCAATATACAGCGCAGACACCCCCCCAATATACAGCGCAGACACCCCCCAATATACGGCTCATGGCTGAGAGTGTTGGGAGCAGGCAGAGAATGACCCGATAGATGCCAGCCAGGATTCTCCTGATGTTCGGACACCGCGCGTGCGCAGTGTGGGGTAGGGAGATTTCACTGAAGAACAAATGTCCATCAGAGCTCTCCATACTGCGCACGCGCGGTGTCCGTGTGCGAGGCAGGGGGATGGCTGGGTCGGCGCATGCGCAGTGCGGGGCAGGGAGATCGGCTAAGTGACGTCACCGCGAGGACCCGGAAGTGATGTGGTCCCATGATGGCTGAAGATCCCGGTGGATCTGAGCGGCATTCTAACACGTTCTTCCCCATTCCCCGCGGTCTGTAGCCATGACCAGCTCCGCCAGCTCTACAGACAGACCCCGCCGCGCCAACTCCCGCCCGATACTGCCGTCACCATGCCCAGGAAGGGCAACAGGAAACGGCTGAAACACCGGGTGGACTCATTGAGCTCCCAGAGAGGTGAGAATCCCCCTCTGCCTGACACTGAGACTGATAGAGAGAGACTGCCTGACACTGAGACTGATAGAGAGAGACTGCCTGACACTGAGACTGATAGAGACTGCCTGACACTGAGACTGATAGAGAGAGACTGCCTGACACTGAGACTGATAGAGAGAGAGACTGCCTGACACTGAGACTGATAGAGAGAGAGACTGCCTGACACTGAGACTGATAGAGAGAGACTGCCTGACACTGAGACTGATAGAGAGAGACTGCCTGACACTGAGACTGATAGAGAGAGACTGCCTGACACTGAGACTGATAGAGAGACTGAGAGAAAGAGAGACTGCCTGACACTGAGAGAGAGAGACTGCCTGACACTGAGAGAGAGAGACTGCCTGACACTGAGAGAGAGAGACTGCCTGACACTGAGAGAGAGACTGCCTGACACAGAGAGAGAGACTGCCTGACACTGAGAGAGAGACTGCCTGACACTGAGAGAGAGAGACTGAGAGAGAGAGACTGCCTGACAGTGAGACTGAGAGAGAGAGACTGCCTGACAGTGAGACTGAGAGAGAGAGACTGCCTGACAGTGAGACTGAGAGAGAGAGACTGCCTGACACTGAGACTGATAGAGAGAGACTGAGTGAGAGAGAGAGAGACTGAGTGAGAGAGAGAGAGACTGAGTGAGAGAGAGAGAGACTGAGTGAGAGAGAGAGAGAGACTGAGTGAGAGAGAGAGAGAGACTGAGTGAGAGAGAGAGAGAGACTGAGTGAGAGAGAGAGAGAGACTGAGTGAGAGAGAGAGACTGAGTGAGAGAGAGAGACTGAGAGAGAGAGAGAGACTGAGTGAGAGAGAGAGACTGAGTGAGAGAGAGACTGAGTGAGAGAGAGACTGAGTGAGAGAGAGACTGAGTGAGAGAGAGACTGAGTGAGAGAGAGACTGAGTGTGAGAGAGAGAGAGAGAGACTGAGAGAGAGACTGCCTGACACTGATTGAGAGAGAGAGAGACTGCCTGACACTGAGATTGAGAGAGAGAGACTGCCTGACAGTGAGACTGAGAGAGAGAGACTGCCTGACAGTGAGACTGAGAGAGAGAGACTGCCTGACAGTGAGACTCTGAGAGAGAGAGACTGCCTGACAGTGAGACTGAGAGAGAGAGACTGCCTGACAGTGAGACTGATAGAGAGAGACTGACACTGAGACTGATAGAGAGAGACTGCCTGACACTGAGAGAGACTGCCTGACACTGAGACTGATAGAGAGAGACTGCCTGCCACTGAGAGAGAGAAAGACTGCCTGCCACTGAGAGAGAAAGACTGCCTGCCACTGAGAGACTGCCTGCCACTGAGAGACTGCCTGCCACTGAGAGACTGCCTGCCACTGAGAGACTGCCTGCCACTGAGAGACTGCCTGCCACTGAGAGACTGCCTGCCACTGAGAGAGAGAGAGAGACTGCCTGCCACTGAGAGAGAGAGAGAGACTGCCTGCCACTGAGAGAGAGAGAGAGACTGCCTGCCACTGAGAGAGAGAGACACTGCCTGCCACTGAGAGAGAGAGACACTGCCTGCCACTGAGAGAGAGACTGCCTGACACTGAGAGAGAGAGAGACTGCCTGACACTGAGAGAGAGAGAGACTGCCTGACACTGAGAGAGAGAGAGACTGCCTGACACTGAGAGAGAGAGAGACTGCCTGACACTGAGAGAGAGAGAGAGAGACTGCCTGACACTGAGAGAGAGAGAGAGAGACTGCCTGACACTGAGACTGATAGAGAGAGAAAGACTGCCTGACACTGAGACTGATAGAGAGAGAAAGACTGCCTGACACTGATAGAGAGAGACTGCCTGAGACTGATAGAGAGAGACTGCCTGAGACTGATAGAGAGAGACTGCCTGAGACTGATAGAGAGAGACTGCCTGAGACTGATAGAGAGACTGCCTGACAGCGAGACTGATAGAGAGAGACTGCCTGACAGCGAGACTGATAGAGAGAGACTGCCTGACAGCGAGACTGATAGAGAGAGACTGCCTGACAGCGAGACTGATAGAGAGAGACTGCCTGACAGCGAGACTGATAGAGAGAGACTGCCTGACAGCGAGACTGATAGAGAGAGACTGCCTGACAGCGAGACTGATAGAGAGAGACTGCCTGACAGCGAGACTGATAGAGAGAGACTGACTGACAGCGAGACTGATAGAGAGAGACTGACTGACACTGAGACTGATAGAGAGAGACTGACTGACACTGAGACTGATAGAGAGAGACTGACACTGAGACTGATAGAGAGAGAGAGACTGCCTGACACTGAGAGAGACTGCCTGACACTGAGACACTGAGAGAGACTGCCTGACACTGAGACACTGAGAGAGACTGCCTGACACTGAGACACTGAGAGAGACTGCCTGACACTGAGACACTGAGAGAGACTGCCTGACACTGAGACACTGAGAGAGAGAGACTGACTGCCTCTCTGTGTCACTCTCTCTCTCTCTGTGTCACTCTCTCTCTCTCTGTCACGGGGTTTACTGTTGAAACTGAACGTTTTGGTGTGCCAATTTGTGTGTAACTATAGGCTTCTATATAACCCCACTTTATACACCTTAATTTACCAATGGTAACTGCTTTAGCATTTTTGGACTAGTGCTGTTTTATTAGATTCAAAAAATCCCAAGTAATTTCAAGATAAATTTGACAAATGAGACTAAATAGTACATGGATCCTTGTGGTTGAAAACAAGTGAAAATATTGGTTCTGTATTTTATTAAGATTTGTTTTGTAAACATTTTTCTCACCAGTCACTGTGGCAGATTATGCCAATTCTGATCCTGCTGTTGTTAAGTCTGGAAGATTGAGAAAGTCGTTGGCCAATGCTGTACAGAAAGAAGGTAAGTTGATGTAGAGTGTTATAGTGTCCCTATAGTGGCATTTAGGTGCTTCTGTAATTTGAGTAGAAGTTCCCACTCTAGTTTATTCATCTAAAAAAAGATGAGCTCTCAAACTTTTGTTATTCAAAACGCTTTGCCTTTCTCCTTTTTTCATGGATTGCTGTTCAGTGAAAGCACTTTGTGGTGCAGAAGCCTCTCATGTCCCTACTGACGATGGAGACTCCCTTTTGTCAGAGAATGGAGCACATTATGAGAGCAGCGATGAAGACTTTGACAGTCTCAATGAGTTGTCCTCTAAGAAAAAGAAATCCAAGAAGAACAAAGGTATAAATAAAAAGTCACATGATTTAGCCTGCTTGGTTAGCAGGGTTTGTAGATCCCTAGGCTTTGGTTAGCCTTCAGTGCCTACCAAGTAACTTTAGGAAATATTATGATTTGTCACACTATCAGTTTTCTCTAATAGGTTTGTATGAAAATGCTCTACATATGGGATCTATTCAGCTGTGCGGGCACATTCAAAAAATTTCACTGGGCATACCATCCTCTTTCATAGCCTGGTGAGATTGAATCTCTTGGAACAGCATTATTTGGAAATGCTTACACTGCTGTACAACTTTGCACTGTACTAGTAAAGGGGGGGGGGGGGAAAGCTGCATTAAAATGGACCTCTTGACCAAACAACTTTTGCTTAGATTGAGCATAAGAATCCATCTAGGCATTGTGCTTGCAGTCTTCCTAGTAAATGTATAGATTAGGAGAAAAACCTATTTAAAGCTAGGTTTTTCTCCCAGCTGTTAGCAGCATTGACTGACCAGGGAGATCAGAAAAGACCTCTTACAGAAGGTCCTTCTGTTCTCCACCCATAGCATGCGCTGCGGTTACTATGGAAACTCCCTAGCCAGCACTTCTAGTATAGTAACTGAGCGATGTCGCGTCACTCCATTCACACACTGGCCCATGTCACTGACGATATTTGTCCTGCTTGGGGATGCGTCCCAAGCAGGGCTAATCAAAGAAGAGTACAGAGGACGGCCCTGAGGTGGATGTTACACGAAGAGTAACACCCACGAAGTGTTGCTGGAATAGAGAAAAAAATTAGTAAATTTCTATATTTTACATTGAATCCACCATGTTTCTTTGTGATATATGGTGCATTCAATGTATATGGGAGCAATTTAAGGTAAGTGAAAATTTTCATTTTCACTGCCCTTTGCAACAGCCTGATTTTAAAACTTATGCAGCCCAGCAAAGCACCCAGAGCTCAATTATCTGACCCCTGATAAATCAGGCTTTTGTCCAAATCACTCAACTTCGGCTGCCTTCTTAAAAGTTTGCAATGACATCCAAATTGGCATGAAACAAGGAGACTTAACTGGAGCTATTTTCCTTGATTTTGCCAAGGCCTTTGACACAGCTGACCTTGGCATTCTTTTGCAAAAACTTAAAAACTCAGGCATTTTTGATCGTCTACTATCCTGGTTTCAATCGTATGTTTCAGACCGATTGCGCTTGTGGACATTTCTGATTGCGCTTCTCTCCCTCTTCCAGTCATGTGTGGTGTTCCCCAAGGCTCCATACTCTGCCCTCTGCTGTTCAAAATATTTATAAATGATCTAGCTAACGTCTGCAAGTCCTCAACTGTACACATGTATGCAGACGACACTGTAATCTACGCTAGTAAACCCAAGCTACTGCAGCTTGAGGCTGTGCTACAAAACCAATTCACAGAGATAGAAAAGTTGACAGCGGATAACAAACTCTTCCTAAACACTGACAAAACCGTTACAATGATCTTTGGAACTGTACCTAAATTAAGTAAACTACAAAATCAACAATTGTGTATCAGAACAAATTCAAATAGCATACTGACAGCAGTCTGCTCTTTTAAATATCTAGGTATGTTGCTAGACCCTAATCTATTTTTTACCTTGGCATTGAAAAAATCTCTTGAAAACTTTACCCAAAACTAGGTGACCCGTACAGAAACAAATCCTGCCTAAGCCGTACAGTAAAGAAACGGATAGTGCAACAAATGCTAATGCCGGTCGATTATGGGGATGTAGTGTATGCACCCGCACCGCAAACCCACCTTAATAAATTTAATACATTAAATCATTTATACTGCCGCTTTGTACTAGAATGGAATTACTTTACCCACCACAGTGACATGTTGAAAGAGCTTTACTGGCTGTCGCCTGAATCCCGATGCACGCTTCATCGTTCCAGCCTTGTGCAAAAGAGCATTTCTGGGAAGCTCCCACCCTACCGGAGTAGAATGCTCTCCCTGGCTGTTCCCACCTCCTATAACATCTGATTCAGTAAGAGCACGATATGTATCATAACCAGTGGTGTATCCTGGTTTTGTGCTGCCCTAGGCAGGACAAAACTCAGGCACCCCCCGCGCTACCCCCAGCCGCGCAACCGCCACCCAACCCTTCCCCCCCCTGCTCCGCCTTCTAAATACACACACACACATTCACTGACAGATACGCATTCACTAGCTAACAGAAACACACACTCACAGGCAATCACACACTCACTGACAGACACACGCACACACACTAACAAGCAGACACGCACACACACTAACAGACACACACACACACTAATACACTCACTTGTGGTTTTTTTTTTAATTTAACCCCCTCCCCCCCCCAGCCTCCTTACCTTTGGGAATGCTGGGGGGGTTCTTCCGCGCCCTGGGGTCCAGTTGGTGCAGAGCGGACAGCGCTGGGCGGGAGGGCGGCCGGCGAGGGAGCTCTTCCCCTGAGCGCTCTGCTCAGCTCCCTCGCGCACCGCTAGCAGAGTGAGGCCAGGAGCCGGAATATGACGTCATCAACCCGGCTCCCAGCCTCACTCGGCGGCGCGCGAGGGAGCTGAGCAGAGCGCTCGGGGAAGAGCTCCCTCGCCAAACAAGGCATTTGCCCTGGGCATTTGGGGGCGGCTTTTTTGCCGCCCCCTGAAAAATGACGCCCAAGGCAAATGCCTTGTTTGCCTCGCAGTTAATACGCCCCTGATCATAACGCAATACAAAAATAAAGTGGCTCGATCATAATTTTCCCACAGAGCACCGCAATTATGGAATAACCTCAGGGACACAGTCAAATCTTCATTCAATCTAAAATATTTTAAGAGATCTATGGTGATATACCTCAGCACAGAATGCACCTGTCACGGTTGACTATATTTATTACCTGTTGGGTATTAAATTTATATATGTGTGTATGTATGTATAGTGTAATATTGTATCATATTGTAACAATGCAATGTTTTGTGGACCCAGGACATACATGAAAATGAGAGAAATCTCAATGTTTCTATTCTGGTAAAATATTTTATAAATAAATATCAGGCGTCAGCTATAGAAGTGAAGCAGAACAACCTATACACATATTATTTGTAAACAAGGTGTAAGAAGTTACCTTGTATACAATACAATGTTGAGTATAAAATAATGCAATTTTTATTTTGAGCCTTCAAGTAAGGAAAATTAAAAACACTAGGAAAAAACATTTTTAGCGTGAGCTCACAATACAACACTCTTACCTATAGAAAGAGCACCTCGGTAGTGCAAAATCTGCCTATGGGTAGGCAAATACTGCTTAAACCCTTTCTAGTTAAAATGTAGAACGAGTAGAAAAGTATATATACACTGAACAAAATTATAAACGCAACACTTTTTTGTTTTTGCCCTTATTTTCATGAGCTGAACTCAAAGATCTAAGACTTTTTCTATGTAAATCACTTTGTTTCTGTTTATGCAGCCCTAGCCACACCTCCCCTGGCTATGATTTGACAGAGCCTGCATGAAAAAAAAAAAAAACTGGTTTCACTTTCAAACAGATGTAATTTACCTTAAATAATTGTATCTCAATCTCTAAATTGAACTTTAATCACATACAGGAGGCTCTTGCAGGGTCTAGCAAGCTATTAACATAGCAGGGGATAAGAAAATCTTAAACAGAACTTGCAATAAAGAAAGCCTAAAAAGGGCTCCCTTTACAGGAAGTGTTTATGGAAGGCTGTACAAGTCACATGCAGGGAGGTGTGACTAGTGTTCATAAACAAAGGGATTTAAACCCTAAATGGCAGAGGATTGAGCAGTGAGGCTGCAGGGGCACCAAAACTGCTTCATTAAGCTAAAGTTGTTCAGGTGACTATAGTGTCCCTTTAAAGTAAACATAACTTCATTGTGGTGTCAGTCAAAAAATGAAATTTAGTTTGTTGATGTATTTTCTCCCCCCTCTCTTTCATTCTGCAGAAAACAGCATAGTAGATAGAACAGGAGATGACTATCCAATTGATATCTGGCTTGTGTTATCTGGCTACATCCGACCTGAAGACGTTTTGAAGTTTGCTCTTATTTGTAAGAATGCTTGGATCGTTACTTGCACTGCTGCCTTTTGGATGAGATTGTATAAAAGGTGTGATAAGTAGTGTAGAATATTAAACTGAATTCACATTTTTATTGTTTAAAATTACTAAAATGTTATGTATGCTTTTATGCACTGGATACAATGGACCAATGATATCAATGTTTCAAATAAACCTGTAGGTTTTTGTTTACATAGAGCAATGTTTGTGGTCTCCAAACCTTTATAAACCTGACACTCTGTTACAAGAACGGTTGAAATTTACTTGGTACTTAATAGTGATCTAATTGTGTATAGTTGGGAAGGGTTGTTTAAGTAAACCCGTCAAGCACTGAATATATAGATTTTTTTTTTTAGAGATTAAATTACTTGGTTTTAGATATTATCACTATTTATTTTGGAGTCAGTGTCAGTATAACTACAGGTGTATGGGTGTTACACTGTTTTAACCATCCAGCTCTGGTTCTGCTTGTGCTCTGATCTGATATTTTTGTATTTTATTTTCTTCCTGCTTGGGGAGTCTACTCAAGCAGGGTAATCCTCTTCCTTAACAGCTGGTTTCTGTGCCTGTGCCTCTGCACCTGGATTGAATTGCTACTCTATTCACAGCAAGAAGTGCTAGAAAGTGGAATATCCACTGCAGCAATCGCATTTCATGTGCTGACCTTTCTGTGCCGAGCACGGGAACTGTCTTAAAGTGGGTTCTCCTGCTCTCACCTGTCACTCTGCTTTCTGCATAGTGCTATTCTGACTCTATGCTGCACAATTTATTCATTTACATACTTACTAGAATAATAGTGAATAAATCTACTTCCATTTAATTTGCTAAATAATATGGTGTGTACAATGATGGGAACACTTTTGGGGATAGGGGAGATGTAATATTAAAAATATAGGCAAGTGACATTTACTTATCTAATATTTTTGACCATCAATTTTAGGGTTTTTAAAGCCGCAATGGGGCTTCAGTTATAGGTTGAGAGCTCCAGTGGACACTCTCTCAGCCTACCGCTCAACCCATTTTGAGTACAGGTTAAAAAAATATACATTTGTGTGCAGTGGGTGTCCTGTAATTGGCTATCTCAGTATTTACCAGATCTGTGCCAAGCTCGGTGAAAATGGCTATCACATTATATATCAATTCCAGATGGAATGAATGGGCTTATTCAGGCAGACATTTCTTTAGCAAAGTAATTGCACATCCTGAAAGTGTGCTTACGGGATTATTTACTAAAGTGAGAATAGCTGGGAATTCAAATTTAATTTCAAATTAAAGGCCAAAGGAACTGAGTTGGTTGCATAGCTGACATGGATAATGTTTCCAATTTGACTATTTTGATCTTATATTTGAATTCACCAAAATTCTTGTTTTCCTGAATAACCCTGTTCGTGTACCTGAGTTGCACTTTCTTTTTCTTTTTTTTTCAGATCGTTCCTGAATGTTGCTTTGATACTATGTTCTGTACTTTTTGACCTTTAGAAATTAAGTGCATTGCCAATTATTAACTAGTTCTTCTTTGCTGTTTGTGTACACTCTAACAGTTGACTAGTGAAAGCCATGAGATTTTATATAACTTAAAAGCTTGAAATGAGTATATCATTTTCTCTACAGGCATTACTGTGTGAACGTCTATCTTCCCGTCCGTCTCCTCCCAGAATGCATCTGTAGACTGCGTTCCTTGCGTGCTTGTGTAATCCGCTCCTTGTACCACCTGTATGAACCCTTTTGCTCTAGAGTGGCAAAAAGCCCTCAGATTCCTGAATCGACACCATGCACTTTGGCAAATTCAAAGGTAAGTTCCTGTTAATGTTTGACTTGTGAAAATCATGCTAAACATTTTTTTTATTCATACAAGTTTAAATGTGATGAGGACTAGCTCAGAATGTAGTGTATACATTAAGCAAGCTACATTTTATACCTCTTCTTTCTTTGGCCCCAGAACTAGATAACCAAAGGCAGTAGTTAGAAGAGTTTTAAAGCCCTAAAATACATGTTTACATATTTGCAGGTTGTTAGGCTAGCTCTGTGCATATGTGAAATAGCAACAAGATTAAAGCTTTAACCTGACTACAGCCAGAATGCCAGGGTGCCTGCTAGAGTAGGAACGTACAGTTAAGAGATGTTTTATTTATATTGACGCGCTTGCCAGGTGGTTTCACAGATCACCAGATTAACAGCGTAGTCTATTATAGTCTAACCTGTTCTTAACATTGTAAACTCTATAATAACCATATGAGACCGTTATTTTTGTTGATATTTCTTCCGCCAAGCGTGACATAATTACAAATCACAGCATAGGCCAGACTTTCTGTACTAAAGGCATGACACTGTACAATCAGATGCAAAGATAAGAGTGTATAGCTATGATCTGTAACGCAATGTTCTAGCCTGACTGCTAAGCTTACTGTGACTAATAGGTGGAGCATTTCTGTGAATCAAACTACTTTCACTTGCCTTTATAAGCGTAAGAAATTATCCTGTTTATGTAACTACTTAAAAAAAAAAAAAAAAAAGTGCAATGTCATTTTTGCCATGTGCTTAATCGTGTACGCAAACTTGATTGCACCAGCTATTGTGGCAGTACAAATCCGCCTGTTAAACTTATGCACGAACAAAAAAAAGAATTAAAAAAAAAGTGATAAGATCTGTGGAGATTGAAATGTTGCAAATGTCTGTAACACAAGGTAGTACATTCTTTAACCCCTTAAAGACACGTGACATGTCATGATTCCCTTTCATTCCAGAAGTTTGATCCTTAAGGGGTTAAAGAAGTCCTGTGATCTAAAATTTGAGGTGAGAATGAAAGCTCAGGACAATTGACAGCAACTAAAACACACCTCAGTTGTTTTGTTTATAATGGTTTATGATGTGTGGGGGTGGTACACTATTTGAGTATTTTGGTAAATGTGCAATACTAGTATTGTATACCTTATTAGTTTTTCATTTATATTGCTGGTTAATGGATATGTATCCCCTTACTAGTACATAAAGAGAAAGAGATTTATAAACAAGCTCATCAATCTAATTATTCTGAGGCTTTTATTTCTGCCACTGCAGTGATTGTGCAACTAAGAACAAATGAAAATCATAAACAAAAAGTACATTTGTAAACAAGCTCATGTAAGAAAATGGTTAATTTCTATCTGTAACAGAGTGAAGTCAAGCAGTAATCTTCTACTTAAAGGGACACTCCAGATCCTAGCTTGCTAAAAATGTTTTTTTTTGTGTGTGAAGTGTCTCCCTTTTTCCTCCCCCACCCCCTTTTCCAAAAAGTGCAGTCTTCAATAGAAATTGTCTTTTATAAAATAACCTCCTCTTCCCTCTCCAATCAGACACCCATCCCTGTTATTTTTTTGTTGTTTAGCTAAACTCAAAAGTGAGGCAGTTGCACAGAGCCTCTGCTCTGCAAGACTTCTCAATGACCTGCATTGGGAGGTCTGTGATTGGACAAACAAAGAAAGGTTGGAGAAGAAGCAGATAGCTTACAAGGTCTGCAGACAAGAGACCTCCCAGGTTTGTAAGCTATTTTTAGATATACACCCAATGAAAAAAATGCACAATTAAATGCATGCATGTTTTCACTGGCAGTATATCTACCAAATAGTGAATCTCTTTTTTTATATATATATTTTTTTTTTATTTCATTTTTTTGTCTGTGGAGTGTCACTCCTGACCCTTTTCATTTTATTTTTTATGAATATATGTGTATGTATATCTGTTCTGCATAGAAATTTTGGAACCATAAAACGACTCATTTTTCTTTTTGTCAGTGTTTACTTTTCTGGTGCAGAAAAGTGACTGGAAGCAAGTCAGAAGCAATGTGGGAGTTTAACTTTAAATTTAAAAAGCAGGTAAGACACGATAAGTTGCGATCATTTTATTCGGTGTAGTGGTTACATCTATGAATGTGCAGCAACCATAGCCCTGCATTGAGTTCTCTGACATTTTTGCTTTTGCTGTTGTTAATGGTAGTGTTTGAGCTTGGCTTGAAACCTGTACACAAACGTGCAAATGGATCCGCAATCTCAAGAGTACTGTTGCTGGGTCATAGTTGGTTTTTGAGATCAGTCCAGTTTGAATTGATACGGTTTCCCCTTTACCAAATGCTTGTTAGATCGGTTTTTTTCTATTTCTTTTTTTTGTCATGTGTATGAATGCTTCGCCTCCCTTTAATAACAAGATGAGTGTTGGGATTTTTCATTAAAGTGAGTGAGTATTCAATGTGAAAAAAAGGGGTTATCTGCGCACTTGCCTAAATCCCTATGCATATTTAAATAAATTTAGGTTATTTAGTTTGTCCAATGACCACGAGAGCGTTTAGCCCACCTGCCACGTCAAGGAAAACCTCTCAGGTGGGTCCTACACTAACCTTTCAACTTGCTTCCTTGAGCTTCATACAAAGATATCTGAGACAGAAAGGGGTATTTTTTTTCTAAACCCCTACATACTTATTAACCCTTAATAGGGAACACATGGCTGTGTGATACAAAAGTGAATACAGATACACAAAAATAAGTCCTGCGCTCAATGCTCAAACTCCCCCCTACTCCTGGGTGGCAGCAACAACCATAGCACACATGAGCCTCAATACATACAAAGACACGCTTGCTTTGTATGTATTGGGGCTCATGTGTGCTATGGTCGTTGCTGCCGCCCAGGAGTAGGGGGAGTTTGAGCACAGGATTTATTTTTGTGTACTAGTAATCATTCTCTGTTATCTCTGCTTTCAATTTGGCTATTCTGGCCTTAAATTTGAAATTCACTTTAAAGGAACACTCCAAGCACCCAGACCACTTCAGCTAATTGAAGTGGTCTAGGTGCTGTGTCCCTTTTGCACTTAGTGCTGCAATGTAAAACATTGCAGCTCTAAGTCTGCCCACAGTGGCTGTCTAACACGGACCTCCAATGTCAGATTTTCCCCATAGGAAAGCATTGAATAATGCTTTCCTATGGGGAGGTCTAATGCGTGCAGCACATGCGCATTTGGTCTCCCCTGCTGGCGTGGGCGGAGTCTGACCCAACGCCAACATGGGAGGGGGGCACTCCAGGAGCCTACAGAGAATCCCTTTAAATTCTCACTTTAGTAACCCTGACTAATCTTGTTCACCTTTCTCTTCATGCTGACACTCTTCTAATGTAAAAATTTTACTTTTTGTTTTTCCTTGTGTGGTAGCTTTTATTTAAGAAAAAAATTGGATTGGGATTTAGTGGGTGAGAAATAAATATTTTAGCAAGGTAATTTGTTAGCCTTTGCCTGTTTGGGGAACTTGAAGCACATAAATATCAAAGCCTATGAAATTGTTTGTGTCATTAGTGCATCTCCAAAAACAATTGTGGCTTTAGGGGATTAACACAACCAAACTCCCCCCCTCCTTTCCTAAAAATGATAATTATTTATTTGTGCATACGTGTGCCAGCCCGCATTTTATAAATCTACGGTTTTAAAATGTTATGTTGACTCAACTCGCTTTTTTTCTTTAATTCCTTAGCCTCCGAGACTAAAGAATCACTGTCCTAATCAGCTGCAGCCACCCTCTGAATACAAGGAAGTCCATTTTAACCCAGACAATGACTGTTTCCTTCTTAAAGTGTCCACTCTAAATTTTATTTTCATACCTGTTGTCATGGGCATGACTCTAACATTTGTAAGTATTTAATAAAACTCTTTACCTGGTGGGGAAATATCTGTTCCCATCACTATTTACCATGATTTTAATTCATGAATTTGTCTTAGATGTATTTAACATACTTTTTTTTTTTCTCTTCTTTAAGTTCACTATTAATGTGAGCACAGATATGCGACATCACAGAGTAAAGCTGGTCTTTAGAGACTCTCCAGTGTGGAATGGAAAAAAGCCTCAGGGTGATCAGGGAGTTCAGATTATATTGGATCCTGTGCACAGCGTCACTCTCTTAGATTGGTGGCACCCGAGATATCCATTTTCATCCCAGGCCTAATACCAGTGTGGCAATTGACAAACTACTGGAAGCTTTTTGGAACCAAATAAAACTCTGAAATACAGTGTAATTTGTTAAGCTCTCTTCTAATGCATACAGCAAATGTGACCAAGACCTGGTTATTGATTAGTGCCAAAGTGAAAAACCAACATTGTGTTCGCAGTCAGCACTGCTGATTTATGAATTTTACCAGTCTTTAAAATGTTTGAACGTTTAATTTATACACAGTGATATCCATAGTATTTGGCCGAGTGGATTTCGAAAATCAAAAGGCAATTTATTTCTGTATTTCCTTTCAAATGTTTTAGTTACACAAGGCTCTCCTTTTATCATACCCAGCCAGTTGGTAAAATCTACAACATGTGGTGTTGGTTGCTATTAAAATGAAGCCGTCCCTTTGGGGTTAAATAAAGCTAGTTTTGTACACAGATGAAAAATGAAAACCTTTTTTTTAGATTGCAATAGCAAATTTTCAATGGATATCATCAGAGATGTCACCATACCAATTTCAAACTGGAATAAATTGAGACCATTGATTTAATAAAAGTGCATTTTCTATTTTTTTTAATACATTTTTCTTTTTCTTTAACAGAAATGTAATCTGTAATGATGAGGTTTCTCTGATAGTGTTTTCCTATTTATTTATTTTTTTACTTTTTTAAATGCTTTTGGCTTGAGTTGAGATCAATCTGGTTTAGTTTTCACTGCAGCCATTTGATCATCTGCTCTGGAATTTGTTTTTTGTTTGTTAAAAAAAAGACCAGCTTTAAAGGAAAACTGTTCAAAGAACGTTCAACGTATATATTAATATGCCACTTAATATATATATTTACTAAGAAAATTTGAATGAAATAGTTTTTGGGGAGTTAATCACTTGTAATCCACTAACCATATGTCATTAGAGCCCTCTTCCTTATAGACCAGTGCCATCTATCTGCCTTATTAGCCTATTTAGAGAGCAGTTTTTGTTTGCTTCTGAGTTGTCTCATTTCCTAATCATTAGAACTAGCGTGCGTGAGTAGGTGCATATAACTGTCCCTTTGTTTTCTGCCAAGTACATTTCAGTAGACCAATGTTTTGAATAACAAATATATGGATTCCTACTTTATCTGAAGGAAACCTGAAAAGATTGTTTCATAGTGTATACTGTAGACTACAAATATGTTTGCAGACGCACACAGTTTTACACTTTGTGCTGTCTCACAGATCATAATCAGGCTTCCTTTTTGTGATGTGTCCTAGCAAATCCTCACCTGCTGGTGCAAAACCTGTTAGCCAGCCCCTTTTGGTTTTTATTCATTATAATGTTTTAAGTGCATGTTCACATCGGCCATGCAACAATGGAGGGGATGGGATTCCATCACCTTAAGGAAATTAACAGCTGCAGGGATTAATCTTTTATTTTCCCCTGAATGCACACTCTAAGGCAGGGGTCCTCAGACTCGGCCCCACGGATGTTGCTGAACTACAACTCCTATGATTCTTTGAATTACACAGATAGCCAGAGAATCAAGGGAGTTGTAGTTCAGCAACATCTGGGGGGCCAAGTTTGAGGACCCCTGCTCTAAGGACAATAACTTTTTTGCTTCTTGTATGTTATCGCACAAAACAGGCCCAGGTCTCTTTCTACAAAGAGTCATTTTTCAAAAATCAGTACAGCTGTAATTCTGCTCCTTTACTTCCTCCCCCTGCTAATATAAATCTACGTATGGTATGTGTTATACAAATATCCACATCCAAGGATTCTCTGAAAGAGACGGAGCTGTGAATGAGTGCTCATGTATATCTCCACTTACAAAACTGAATGCTGACAGCCACAGTGCACTTGCTATCAGCTAATCCTCAAGTCACTTCATACTATGTGATGAACAGTTGTTGCCAATTGCTTAAAGGACCACTATAGTGCCAGGAAAACACTTGTTTTCCTGGCACTATAGTGCCCTGAGGGTGCCCCCACCCTCAGGGTCCCACTCCCGCCGGGCTCTGGGGAGAGGAAGGGGTTAAAATCTTACCTTTCTCCAGCGCCGGGCAGGGAGCTCTCCTCCTCAGCGACGTCATCGCCTGAATGTGCATGCGCGGCAGGAGCCGCGCGCATTCAGCCAGTTCATAGGAAAGCATTTACAATGCTTTCCTATGGACGCTGGCGTCTTCTCACTGATTTTCACAGTGAGAAGCATGCAAGCGCCTCTAGCAGCTGTCAAGAGACAGCCACTAGAGGCTGGCTTAACCATATTATAAACATAGCAGTTTCTCTTAATCAATGTAAATGGAATGATTTTACTGCCATCTATATTCATACAGACTTCCCAATTAAAATGTATTAAGCACATGTAAAATGGCTGAATCTATATTAATATATGAAGATGCTACATTCACTTATATTTTGAGAAACAATTAGCATGTTTAGATTTGCGCTTGGTAAATAGTAATACAATATACACATCTTTGAGATCTATAAATCTGCAGAAAATGTTTAAGTGGTATCCATGTACATTTGATATGCTACACAGAGAGCCAAAAAAGTAGTTGGGATAAATTTCTTTTAAATAAAGTGTTTATACACATGCAGACATCCATGTACCAAACAAAATTTGAGCTATAATTTTTTTAATTTGATAAAAGTAAAAACTAATGCTGTTCAATCCTTTATTTTAACCCCTTAAGGACATATGACGGAAATATTCCATCATGATTCCCTTTTATTCCAGAAGTTGTGTCCTTAAGGGGTTAAGGTTATTTTTGTATAGATAAAAATTATATATACATACACATATACTCTCTCTCTCCTCCCCCCCTCTGCCAACTCCTGGACAGTCTGTGGTGCAACGTGACGTTGGTGGATGAAGTGAGACATGATGTGCTCAATTGAATTCAGGTCTGGGGAACAGGCGGGCCAGTCCATAGCATCAATACCTTCGTCTTGCAGGAACTGCTGACACACTGCAGCCACATGAGGTCTAGTATTGTCTTGCATTAGGAGGAACCCAGGGCCAACCACACCAGCATATGGTCTCACAAGGGGTCTGAGGATCTCATCTTGGTACCTAATGGCAGGCTGGCTATCTCTGGTGAGCACATGGAGGGCTGTGCGGCTCCCCAAAGAAATGCCACCCCACACCATTACTGACCCACTGCCAAACCGGTCATGCTGGAGGAATCAGAATTTCCTAATGTGTATAGAAACCTAGAGATTCCATCTATTTTTAAATACTTTTCTGACTTGTTATCTTGAGAAAACAAGTTATCTCAAGATTAAAAGTCAGAAATATATTTAAAATATATGGCTTCTCTAGGCTTCCGTAGATGTGACCATTTGGGGATCCACTCGTTTTATTTGGGTTTTGTTGTCCTAACTGCGGAAGGTGCTTAAGAGTAATTAAAACTAGAAAAGCTACAATTTCTGGGGAAATTGTGTGAAGTGTTCTTGCCTCCACCAGTAGTCTACAACTGTATTTTAAAAACTATAAATCCTACAGCGAAGCGCTTTATATTGTGAGAATCACAAGACCCAGACCTACATTTTGATGCATAGTATGTCTCTGAAGTATTAAAAATGAAGGCACAGTCGCTTTAGAAATTGCACTTCAAATTTGAGCTTTGTAGAGTGAAGTTTCAATGAATGTCAATGGATGGCGTTAGTTGCAAACAAATGATTATATTGTGAAAACTATCAGGACTATGGCTTAGCCGTGGACATTTCTAGTGGCAGCAGGGATATCTGAATGTTTTGATATAAGATTTGTGTAGGTGGGCCTGAAAATAAGGGAGTGGTGGCAGTTTAGAAATCATGTCCTGATTTTTCAGCTTTTGCCAGCTCCCACTCTAGCTTTGCCATTCATTCCTATGGGACATATTTCGCCACAAGAACGACGATATTCCGTGAACCATTCGGCGAAACGTTCCACAAAGTAATAGCAATCCGATCGGGAACAATCTGCACGTTTTGGTAAATTTTTGTCTATGTAGTGTTAAAACTGTGGGAGGAGTTAGGGTGGCAAATTTGGCTATAATAAGAATAATATATATGTGAGATAACATTAAGTGGTCTTGCTATGCAAGAACACTTAATAAGAATATATATGTGAGATAATAAGTGGTCTTGCTATGCAAGAACACTTAATAAGAATATATATGTGAGATAATAAGTGGTCTTGCTATGCAAGAACACTTAATAATAATATATATGTGAGATAACATTAAGTGGTCTTGCTATGCAAGATCACTTAAAAAAGAAAAAAAAGATTTTTTGACGTTTACTAAACTATTAAACATTTCTCCAGTATGTGGCGCTATTGCTGATCATTTTCTTCTCATTTTATACATCTAAATTTAATACTCAGTATATAGTCTGTGTACACAGGGATTTCTCATTAATAGTTAAACTTAAATGCTCCAAAAACCCTCAGCAATCCTGTTTTTTGCACCTTTCACACATGCAATTTTGGCTTATTTAAATGTTTGTTTTTCAATGAGTATATGTATGAATATATTGCTGTTGTAGCCAGCCCCCAAACTTACCTTACAGCCGATAGGTTTGCATGCTACTTTACAGACAACATTTAAGAAAAGAATGCCCTCGCTCCCCCCCCACCCCCCCCCTTTGCTCTTCTCTCTCTCAACTACACTTTGGACGGTGCTGTACAACCCTTTAGACCAGGGATAGCCAACCTTTTTCGACCTACCGCCCACTAATGCATCTTTCTTGATGGAAAAAATTCCTTACTGCCCACCAGTTTTCGCGCAAGTGCAGAATATTTTTTAGAAAGGAGGATGTTTAAAAAAAAAAAAATGTACATACATTTATCTTTTTATTTCTACTTTATGCATGTTTATAATGTTTTTAACTTTATAAAGTTTAATGAGAAAACAATAAAGTAAATAGAAATTACCTTTACTACTGATTAATGAGATTATTGAGGTTGATGCTGCAAGACTAAATATTTGATATCTGGTTCGATTTTCATAAGGAACAAATGAAGGTCTCCTCTTTCGGTGATATTCAGACGATTTCTCTGTCATAACATGATTTCTCATCTGTGCGTCAGCTCCCCTCCTCTCCCTCCTCAATTCCCCTCCCCACCTTTTTTTTAACCTTCCTTATAGCAATGCCCAGTCGGAAGGCTGAGCTAGGTAGCCCACTTACTATTTCTAGCCAACAAAATTCTCTCCTTTTCCTTTTTATTTTCCTTATTTCTCCTATGCTACAAGTACACTGCTCCTTCATTCTCTTTTTTTTTACAAGTACTCTCCTCCTTTATTTTATCACCTTTTTTCTATTTTGTTTGATCTTTTCCTTTTTATCTCCTTTTTTATGCTTTTCTTTTACCTTCCTTAGGGCAATGTACAAAAGTAAGGTTGATGTATAGTGGGTAGGAGGCTATATAGTAGGTAGGGGGCTGTGAAGTTGGTAGGGGGGCTGTGAGGGGGTTAGGTGGGCAGTATAGTGGGAAGAGGGGATCTATAGTGGGTAGGAGGGCTGTGAGGTGGGTAGGGGGGCTTTATAGTGGGTAGGGGGCCGTCTGTGAGGTGGGGGCGTCTGAATGGTGG